GGCGCGGTTTTGAGGACATTGTCGAGTGTTGACATGGCATCATCGACATCCGATGGCTCACTAAAGCAAACCAGAAACTCATTACAGATCCGCCTAAATTGTCGGGTTCCCTTGTTGTTAAGGTAGCGGTTTCTGCGAAAGTATCGCTATACATGCGTCCAAAAGTCACTCCATCTTAAATCTACTTCAACTTGGGAAACATTTTCACCTATTGTGACTGGATAAAGGTTTTAGGATTCTCATAAATCGTTTCTAAACAAACTCAAGGTCAGTTATGGTCAAAAGGCGTAAAAAGTGCGTGTGAAAGCAATGCAAAAGGTCGACGCACACTGTAAGAGGTGGCTGCGGTAGTTGCCTGGCGCACGCCGTACAAGGGATGACGCGGTGAACGAGGTACTCCCCACTGTTGGATTGGTTGAAACGCGTTCCCAAGTCGGGGTACCAGTCCTCGAGCAGAAAGTCGATGTGGTGCACAACCTGGGCAAAAAATAACACATCACAGACGTCAGTTGGATCACAGTGACCAAATGCACACTATTTGTCGAGTTCACATCGACCGCCCTTATCCTACTGGTTCGTTAGCTCAAGTTAATTGCCATCAAGATCACCCAACCCATCTGTATGTGTAATTCGTGAAAACTTCCTCGCCATGAGGGTTTGATCATGCGATTGCGCCGGATAGGTGGTGGCCTGCGTTAAAAATGGATTTGCTTGGTTTAAGGGGTCAGTCTGAACCTCGAAGCAATGTCATTTCAATGCACAAAACTAGCCAGTGGTGGAGCTTACTTTGGTCAGAATTTGGGTGAAAATCCGACGATCTGGTTCAACGGTGTAGGGCTTGGAGGGGTCACCTTCTGCGGCTTGTGTGTAATCTGGCCAGACAACTGAGAACGACGGCATGTGCAGCTGAATCAGGCAGTGGTTCGCAAAATCGCCTACAACACACATACACACAAACAAAATTACGCTACAGCTCCACATTGGGTTATGACTTTTCTTCGGGATCAAAAATATGTTTCATACAGACATATTTTCGCGATCATTCGTGGCCTCGAAGGGATCAGACACAAGGTTATAGAACACTTCAAGACAAGTCGATGTGAGTTGCACAACCACTTAGAATAGCAGGGTTTACGATGGGAGCTGATAAAGAGCACATTCGACGGCATTGCATTCTACGTGGATTCCAACAAGGACTAAATGCTTCTAAAGCACGGAAACCAGGTTGCAGTGTTCTAGGTGCCGACGTTGTGTCTTATAAGACGTGTGGTGCTGGGCACACACGTCTTATTGGACGTGGTGATTTCGGTCTTAGTAACCAAACCAACCCCATCTCGGACAGCAGCGTCGAAAGTTTCAAGATGCGCAACTGCATGCACTGCTGGATGAAGGCCTAAAGCAAACGCAACAAGAGTCTACAGCTCAGTTAAGAGTGACCCAAGCAGCTATTTTCAAGCGCTTGTACCAAAAAGGGAAGATTCAAGAACTTGGAAGTTGGGTCTTCCCTACATGCGTTGACCGAACACAACCTCCTAGGTCAACCTATGAACACATGCCTTTCACTGCTTGCCCACCGGCAACAAAAAATGCCTTCTTGCGGAAAATTGTGACGGGCATTATAA